GGACTAGATTTATTGTTAAGTTCATTATTTAGATTAACTACCACAACATACTAATTTAATAATTGCCTGATGACCATAAAATCCCTTTCAGTGTTCAGAGTGGTATGTGCCCTATGTTAGAAATGTTCTTACTTAGATAAAAAGAAGCAGTCAGTACTTGCAGTCGTTTGATGAGAGTGCCTCGTGGTCACATGGGGCTATGAGAGTCAATAGTCTTTGTCAATAAATAGTATTCACAGGAATTGCCTCTTATAATGTAGCTCTCTAGACATGGCTTTGAAGTAGAAAGATGAAGGAGTGGGTGGGGTGATTAGAGTCCTCTGCTTGCTGTTGAAACCTTAGCTGGGTTCAGCTAAGGTAAGTGATAGTACAGTGGGTAGGGCATTTGTCTTGCACATGAGCAGCCAGGTTCAATCCTCAGCATCCCATATGGTCTCCGGAGAACACCAGGAGTAATTCCTAAGTGCAGAGCCAGGAGTAATGCATAAGCATTGCCAGGTATGACCTCCCACCCCCAACAGCAAAAAAACAAACAGAAATAAACCAGCACTGGTGGGAATGCCGACTGGTTCAGCCTTTCTGGAAAATAATATGCGCATTCCTCAAAAAACTAGAAATTGAGTTTTCATATGACTGAGCAATACTACTTCTGGGAATATATCTCGGGGATGCAAAAGAAGCACTGAAGAAATGAATCTGCACCTGTATGTTCACTGCAGCACTGTTCACAATAGCCCACATCTGGAAACAACCCAAGTGCCCGAGAACAGATGACTGGTTAAAGAAACTGGTACATCTACACAATGAAATACAATGCAACTGTTAGGAAATATGAAGTCATGAAATTTGCCTATAAGTGCATGAATAAGGAGAGTAAGTGAAATGAGTCAGAAAGAGAGGGACAGATATAGAATAACCACACTCATTTGTATTGTAGAATATAAAATAACATAATATGAGACTAGCACCCAAGGACAGTAGAGACAAGAACCAGGAAGATTGTTCCACAGTTGGAAACCTGCCTCATGAGTTGGGGTAGAAGGCACCTGGGATAGAGAAGAGATCACTGTCAATGATGGTTAGAGGGATCACTCGGGATGGGAGATGTGTACTGAAAGTAGATGAGGAACCAAACATGATTGCCTCTCAGCATTGCAAACCACAATGCCCAGAAGTAGAGAGTAAGAAGGAAATTGTATGCCACAGAGGCAGGGCTTGGGTTGGGTTTGGGGTGACTGGAGGAATACTGGGGAATAAAAGCTTTGTTACTGTATCTCACGGTGATTCAATTAAAAAAAAACTAAGTTGAGCTGACTGGGGAGTGGTGTGTGTGTGTGTGTGTATCATGTGTAAGATAATATGTGCTTATAAGTGAGTGTGCAGACACAGATGCACATGGGAAAGAAATAGAAGAAAGGATTACTGTCACTGTCCTCCCATTGTTCATCGATTTGCTCGAGCGGGCCCAGTAACGTCTCCATTGGAGACTTTGTTGTTACTGTGTTTGGCATATCGAATACGTCATGGGTAGGAAGAAAGGATATCCCAGAGATTTCCATGGACCTTTCAGCACCTTCCTTCCAACACCCACCTGGACTCAGCTCCTCCAACTCCTCCACACAGAGAAACCGTTGAGCATCCTAACCTGAGTTACTCTGGTTGGATTATTCAAGATCTATTCTCAGCAGCGTCAGCAGTACTGAAGGTACTTGGCTGTGGTTTGTGTAGAAAAGATCTCAGGGGACTTTTCAAAGAGAAAGGATTCAGCCAGGGCAGCAAATCTAGAAAAGTATAGTTACCCTTGAGACAGTTTTATTTTATAGTGCTACTGTGATTTTTCTTAGGATGGTGGGAATAATCTTATTCAGTTCAGTGTGAGATAGTTACCCTCACTTGATAGACTCCACTAGTTATCAACATTCATTTAATCATCTGGTTAGATGGCCCCAATATCTTGGAAGAGGGGTGGGGTGGAGTGAAGAGGCCATGTTCACATGCCTCTCCTCTTAGCCCTGTGAGATTTAGGTTTTCCACTGCGGAAAGTGCCCTGGAATTCTGACCTGACCAGGAAAGGAGATTTGGGGTGGGGGGTAATCTGCTTCTGTGGAAGGGGATCTCTCAAAGTGAAGAGGATACAGAATTTTCCTAGACAGGTGAGAAGAAAGAGTCCTGTCTTCCAAGGATACACTCAGGTTATGTGTGATCTTCCTTTACCACTGTTTGCCCTTCCCTGAACAGGAGTTTCTCCTGGGAGCCTCCTAGCTCTGCTCTTTAAAAACTTTTTTATTTAACTGAATCAGGAGACACACAGTTAAAGCTGTTCATGATCCGTTTTCAGTCATACAATGTTCCAACACCCATCCATCCACCAGTGAACATTTCCCACCACCAATGCCCCCAGTTTCCCTCTTGAGACCACTACAGCCCAACACCGCCCCGCCCCCACAGCCTGCCTCTATGCTAGCACTTTTCTTCTGTCTGTTGTCTGTCTGTCTGTCTCTCCTTTTGAGCACTATGGTTTGTAATATAGATACTAAGAGGTTATCATATCTAGGTCTGCCCTTAAGGTTGATGATCTGGCCTGGGAACCAAATAGTTTCCAGGTATCCAGATAATTCTTCCAATTAAAGATGAGTGTCACTTTGTTCCAGAAGGAGGTGACCCTTACAGGTGAGGAGGATGAGTAGAGTTTGAATCACCCGTGATTTTTTTCTGCTTCAGAGGGCAGGTGTAGACAGTGATAGAAAGTCTCCCTGGGGGAGAAGACAGTGGTCCCCTCACCCAAATCATCAGAAAAGAACCAGGCTTTCAGCAGGTCTATTTCTTTATTTATAAACCAGTCTTGCAAACTTTCTACACTTCTTAGACAACACAAACTCAGTCAAGCCATACAATTTATTCTCTTGACCAACTTGGAATGAAAAACCCTACTTTGTGTTTTTAAATATTTTGAATGGTTTTCTAAGTTCACCTTGAGAGTAAAAACCACTAAGGCTGGGCAGTGGAGAAGGGGGAGAGGGGAGGTGGGTTGGCAGGGGATAGGATGGGGAGTGTGCACTGTGCCTACAGACTGAATAAAAAAGTTTCAGTTTCAGAAGCCTTTGCATTGTCTTTCAGAAAAAAACCCACAAAGCTACCATCTTAGAATAGGTCAAACCCAGAGTCTATTGTGTGGCAAACTCATTCTTTAATTTTTTCAGATGCTTAAGCCATGTCTTTTTCCCTCCAGTAATCAAAATAGTACAAGATAATCAGAGAGCAAAAATGGTTATATATATTATATATAGATGTTGCCATAATCATAGTAGCTTCACACGTCTTTTAATTGGGAAGAGTGTACACATACACACATAGGTACTCTGAGAGAGTGAATGTATACATACACAATACGCAGAGAATGATGATGATGATCTGAAATAGCAGGGTATTATTTCTAGACCAGCATTTATACTACATAATAAGTCCCCAACATACTATCATGCTTTAAATGGAGGCAGAGGTGAAAGTTTCACTAACTGTACATTTTTTAACAACAAATCTGTGCAGGGTCTTTGGCCTTTGGGGGCAGTCTTGCTATTCAATAGTTCAATGTGGTCAGATTTAAGTGATACTTATGGATTGGAAAAAAAAAATAAAACCAAAAAATACCCTTGTTCTAATCTTCATTCCCGGTTCTCATCTCTCTCAGAGATGAAGAAGTGGTGTCAGAACGGTCAATTCGGTGTCCCATTCCAGTTACTGGACAGCACCATAGCACCACAAAACCAACAGCTGTGCTGATGTGTGCCCACTTTAGATTAGTAACAGTTTTGAACAAGAACGATCTGGTTGCCATGGGAAGCCAGGGGCATGTTGATGCAGTGGGTTCTGCAGACGAAGTTCAGTGTTGACGCTGTGGGCAATTGATTTTTGAAATTAAATTAAAATTCTTACTCTGAAGAAGCTGTAGTTTGTTTGCTTTGTTTTGTTCTTAGGGGAAGCTTAGCTTCTTCCACATTCCATGTCTGTGCTCACATGTATGCCTGGTTTCAGATGGGCTGGGCTGAACTGTTCAGCCGCTTCCAGGATCACGGTGTCCCCAGAAGCTAGCTACACAACTTGAGGGCCTCCAGGTTTTAGTCCTAGGATCCTAGTGCAGAGTGTTATGTTATTATTTAAGATTTGTCAGGACATGTAACATTTATGGAGTATATAAAAATATGTGTACTCACTAACTTCTGTCTAACTTCTGCAATCTAAAGTGAGTGAACAAACATCTGACATCTCAGAACCAGATTATAATTCTGTGCTAAAATGACAGACTATGAAATTGAACAAAAGAACACACACAACTATTCAGAATTATTACTGCAGAAAAGACAGCAAAATGGACATTTTTTTTTAACAGATCCTTAATTACTACTAATGTAACTTGCCAATGTAAAAGAAAATTTTCTCTTCTGGTACTTCTCTTTGCAATAATGACAGTGACTATCACAAAGAATCTCGCAACTGTGGGGTATTAGGACAACAGAAGCAGAAAAAACCCCCAAACAATCCAGGAGGCAGAAATACATTTCAAACTGCGTCATAGGACAGGCTTGTCTTGCTATGGAAAGTTAAACCTTATCAAATGTAATTTGATTCGTCATTAAGTGTGCTTTTCGTTTGTTAAAGTGAATGCAAATAAAACATCTAGCATATTTTTGCCTCCAGTTTGAGAAGTCAGACATAAAATCCAAATGGTCTTAAAAAAATGTGATGTTTCCACTTTATCTTTGAAATACGGAAAATATCTTCTACATTGCTCAGATTTAATCTAGTCCGTTTCTGCTGGCTCAGTGGGTTTCCACGAGATACAGGAGAAACGAAGGGCAACAGTCCCTACCCGGCAGCTACTCTGAAACTGCTTCAGGTGAGTTCCGCCTTAGGTGAGTTCCGCTTCAGGTGAGTTCTGCCTCAGGTGAGTTCCATCTCAGGTGTTCGACAAAGTGGGATGAACTAATCCGCCATAGAGAAGTCAGTTGCAGATTTGTCAAGTAAACTCTGACACCTTGAGGTGTGCATGATTTCTGGTCAACATCAATTTCTACATTCACAAATGGCAAGCATCAGTGAATAGAAAAAGAAATCAGAAGTGAAGGAGAAACAGTTCTAGTTGTTTGAGTGTGGGAAGGGGGGTGGTGGTCATTTCTTTCATGATCCATGGCTTCCTGTGACATTTTGGCATTTCACTTAAGGGAGAACCTAAGTTACTGCGGAATTCTAGGAGTCTTCCATTTTCTTCATGATGAAAGGTTTGAAAAAGTTGACCTCTGTGAGGAAATACTACAGACTTCCAAATTGGTGAAAGAGCTCCCAGCGTCGCTTGGATACTCAGGGTAGGAGGAACTGGAGGAGATGATATTTTTGAGCCTCTGGAGGGCAATGATTAAAAGCAGCAGCAGAAATGCTAAAAGGCTGAGGAATATGGACACATAGATATAGACATTTGACAGGTGGCCCGAGGACGGGTCTACAGAGGTGGACAGGGAGGTGGGAAACAGTTCCAGGAAAGTTCCATTCTCCACATTGCCCCCCAGGACAGAGGGAGAGTCAGGTTCAGACATCTTTGTGGAGGGTTGTAGAGAGTTGAAGCAGATGAAAAGTTGAAGTTTCACACCAGAGCTAAAACAATCAGCATTTTTTTCCTTTTGATGAGGGTGTCAGCAAAACTTGCAGGCAGGTCCTCAGCACAATGAAAAGGTTTTGGTTTTCAAACCAAAGCAGCCGTGATCAGGTGTCCACTGACACTGCAGGACAAAAACAAAACAAAACACAAAACAACTGAGTGTGTTGTTCAGAAAATATCAAATTTGATCTCATTTCTAGTTTTTTTTTCTTTTTTGCAACAAGACTTAATTATAAAAACCCAACATAAAAGGGAAAGAACAAAATGACTTCCCCAGGAACAAGCAATATTTTTATTGTTCCACCCAAATGATCAGACAAAAACGAATTTTTAACTTCATAGTACCCTGGGTGCTAGGTCTCTTCAAGGAACTAAAGAAAAATAAAAAGGAAAATACATTTCTGATGTGCTCCATCTGCTACAATTTCAACAGATGCTCTGAGTGGATGCACTGAGAATAGGGCCCAAAAGTTAGCTCCGAATCTCCTTCTTCCAGAAAATTAATTCCACAAGTTCTCCAGCCCACAGGCACAATTCCCAGCCTCTGTCTCCCTACAGCACACTTTGGAGAATTGCTGCATACATAAGTTTGCTTTTTGGTGAGCATTTATAATTTGCTCGTTTGTTTATGAAAAATATACCTCCATGAGTTACAGACTATTTCTATGGATTTCTTTTCTTTTAGATCTGTCTACAGACTTTGCTCCATGTACTTCAGGCAAGGGAACAAAGTGAACTGCAATAACAACATTATGTTAAGAAAATTAGATTAATTTAGAACATACCTTTGATAGAATCAAAAGGTAGGTTTGCTGTCAAGAGACTCAAATCTAAGGTCTAAATTCTTTATCTTGGGAGCTTGGGCGAATTGCCGACATTTCTGAGCTTGACTTTTACTCTCCCGGCCTATCTTCTTATTTTGTTTTGTAAGGTTCAAAATGACCCATAGGGAAGCCCTTTATAAAGAGTTGGGCCACAATGGCTTTGGAGTATACGTGTGTTTGTGTGTGTGTGTGTGTGTGTGTGTGTGTATGTGTGTGTTGTGAATGATGTGGAGATTCCCGTGTCTCTGGGTGTAGGGCAGCATGTCCAAGACATCTTGTCCTCCATGACTTGGAAAGTCAGAGGGGCTTTGCACCTGGGCTTGCAGGTCACTAAGTCCACATGGGGTCCAGGCAAACAGCCTATGGAAGAATGATCACTTCCTGTGGATGACTCCCTTTCTTTAAATTCAGTAGAACTGCTTATTTCAGCTCTTTAAGGCACTGCATCATTTTGCCATAAAGTTTTAAATCTTGCTATACTGATATGCTAGTGTGAAAACATTCACTGTGCCTTGGTTTCCCCTTTTCCTAAACTCCGTTCTATGTTTTACTTGAAAACTTGCCTTTACCTTCTATTATCTCCAAATATAATTAAGCATGAGTGGCATTAATGAACCTTGGAGAGGAGGGGAATACTTCAGAGAGGGCTGTCTCTCCTGGGGATGAGGTGGGTGGGTGGGGGGGGGGGGTTCGTGCAAGTAAACAGTCTTAGTGAGTTCCTCGGAGTAGCCCATCACAGAATCATAGTAATTCCTAAAATAATTTGACTCCCTTTCTTCATTATGCTTTGCCTGGTGACTTTAATTCTATTAGGCTGCAACAGGTTCCTAACAACCTTTAAAAAGAAAAGTGAGCAAATCAGAGTGGGACTGAAACTTTGCAACACTGGTTGGGCAATACCTAGCCTTTTTTTTTACAGCATGTAAATGTTCTAGCTGTTCATTTTAAGTAAAAAAGTAGAAGTCTCGGAGAGAACTTGATGTACAGAACAGGAAACAAGGAGAGGAACCACATGAAATGAATAGGAAGAAAAAAAATTCAAAATGTAAGGCATCCTGAATCTAGCTGTGGAAAATCAGAAGCAAAAAATCTTATTTGACAAAAGAAACAACTCTGATTTAGGAGATATGCCAAAACTTTCTTCTTCTCCACATCTCACCCCTTTATACACCTCATATTGTTGGGGTCCAAAGATATTACCCTTTTTTTCTAGCTTGGGTAAAGAAGTGCAGGACGATGCTTCTCTGTGTTTCTTACTGAGTCAGCAAAACAGGAATTATTATTTCCATTTTGCAGAGGAGGTAAATGAATCTAAGATGCCCTGATTTTTACTCAGGTTTCATGCTAAACAGTGAATAGAAACAAAGCATAAAGTGTGTTCTTGGTTTTTTCAAGTGTGAGGAGGAAAATTAAGCTGAAACTTGGATATTTAGTACCTGTCTGCCACTTTGAGAAACACACATGAGTCTTGAAATGTTGATTTTCTCCCTCTGGACAGTGATATCACAGGTACTGAATTAAGAAATGTGGTAACATTTTCATTATTGTCCTTAGAAAATTATAAAATTCCACCTGAAGTAAAGTTCTAGTAGGCAAATTGGCTTACTTATTTATTTTTCTTTCTGAATGCCTACAGAGAACAGTGGAATGGTCTAATCTTAGCTATTTCTACCATTCTGAAATAGGAAGTCAGCAACTGAGTTAGAATGAGATGATTTTTTTATTTATTTTTAGTTGGGGGCCACAGCGAATAGAACTCAGGGGCCCTTCCTGGCGTTTGGTATTTGGGGGTCACTCCCAGTGGTCCTTAGAAGACCAAGAGATTATGGGACTCAAACCCTCCCACTTGCAAATCACGAACTCAGACCATGGAGTTATTTCTCAGGTTCCAAGCCTATTTTTCTAACACTATTGTCACTGCCCAAATTATTGTCTGACAATGGTGTTCGAGGTACAAATGATGTCAGAGTACAGTAATCCAGTGTACTGAATTACTCACAATTGGTTATCAGACCATTTTAAAGCAATCATATCTCTGGATAGTATTAATATTATAACAGTATTTTAATATCTAACTCAGTATGAGCCACAATAGTCTATGAAATAGTTTATAGGGACTAAAACTCAGAAGATTTGAATGGCCTTAGAAGAACAATAAACACAAACAACTGAAACCTTGTGACCTTCTTTGACATTTTACAACTAAACACCACTCACACCCTGCCCTGCCTAATACTTCACATTTAGCTTTAGATCTAGACTGCGTCTTAATTAATTCTGTTTCACAGTTCAGCCCTGAAACAATTGGGTATAGCACTGTGGGAGATTACTTTAATTTGATTAAATTAGTGTTCAAGCTCTTATTACACATTTAAAACCTGATCACTCTTCTTTCTCTTTGATGAATGTTTTGACAGTTTATCCAGGTGTTCAGGTGCATAATATGTATATAATTCTCACAGTAAGACTGACTGTCCATGTTTAGGAACTGTGGCAGTATCACCGAGGCTAAAGAAAGCACTACGGAAATGAAGTCAAGCAAGTGTGTTATCTGACAATGGTTTCCCAAACAGGTTAACTCTGAATGAAGAAGAAAAAGGTTGACTTCATCTGAAATACATAGCTTTGCCCTGTCTCAGGGCAATGACAGCAGTCTCTCATGTAGGTGCCACCTAGAACCACTTGGCAATTGTGATGTTGTTTTTTCCTGAGTCATAGTCAGCGAGTGACATGTGAGAAAGGAAAATAAAACAGCTGGGTCACAACATTAAAAATGGAGACCTGTGGAAATGTTTCAGTTCCCTTTGTCTCTTGATATTCAAACCCAGGTTCAATCCCCAGTAGAGCATGGTCTCCTGAATTCCACCCTGAGCTAATACAGCTAGACTCTAGACATCACTGGGCATCCCCCTGGCCCCCAAAAGCAAAAAATTTAAAAATAAGTAAATAAAACAAATAAAAACCTCAGCTGGGAAGAACAAAAGCACACTCTCAGTGTGTACCTTCTCATTCAGTGAAAGGAAGAAGAGCTGACTGACCCCTCACCTTTGTCTCCTTCCTTCCACACACATGCATTGTGAGACCCCAGACAGTCAGTATGTGGGCGGAGCCTCTATTTCCAGCAATACAATGGTACATAAAAGCTCAGGCTCAAATCTGGCACAGCAATTTCTGAGTTTCTGACCTTTATTCAAGTACACTTCTATGTGAATAAAACGATTTGAAAGGTTTTTTTCTGTTGTGGAAAAGTAGGGCAAGTTGCTTTGTTCCCTTGCAGACATATTTAAAGAGTGTCCTAGCTGTTATGGTATTCAATCAACACTTTATCATTAGCAAGTCCTGCTGTGTCATCTCCCAAGAAAGAACAATTTGATTTTTTAAAAATTTGACATGATATAGTAAAATGCCTATACGGGTCCAAAGATGTGAAAATTGCGATATTATAATGCAATGAATGGTTTTAAAAGATATCGATCTTTTACCCCTGAAGAAGATAGAAAACAGCATCTCCAGGATCAAGAAAGGATCTTATCATATCTGAGCAGATGATGGTTTTAGAAAATAGTTTCATTTAGAAAATAGCATGTTTTATATACGTCCTTAGCCGTTCGTTTCCAATTTTTGTGATTATATTTCCTCTTAATGCATTCTCTTTGCCTTTATGTCATGCTAGATTAGAAAAGGCCGGTGCTGACAATATATGCTCCCCACCCCCTCTTCTCTCTCTCGAATGCACTTAATGGCAGACACTCACTTTGGGAGTTGCTGTAATAAAATAAAATGTGTTAGGCTTTCTGCTATTTTTGTTCAAAGCTGATTCAGCATAGCTTGTTATTTGCTTACTTGAGAATTGCTCTTACTTATCAATGCTTTGGGAGAGGAGAATTTTGTGTAAACGCTCATTATGATTCTCTCCTGTCAGGCCAATAAAAAACAAAACTAAGCAATGAAATCAACTGAGTTTCTACACTATCACATACTAAATTGGAGGACCAGCTTATGGGAAGAAATATGAAGACATGGAGATTCTAAATGACCTACTAGAATTCATGGATCTGAGTTGCATAATATCAGACAAAAAATTAAAAGTCCTTTTTAACCCCTTCTGAAATGAATTATCAGAAAAGATGAGAACTTTTCACAGTTCTTTGGTGACAAAGAAGTGATAAAATTATTCTTTTCTAATAGTCATTTCTCCCAAAACTCTTCCTTAAGATGTATGATTAGGCAGGTTTAAGTTTCAATTTGT